GCCCGTCAGTTAACCCTGGGAGAACTATCTATCTGTCTGTCTGTCTATCTATCTATCTATCTATCTATCTATCTATCTAATCTGTCGATCTATCGATGTATCGGTGTATCGATCTATCGGTCTATCGATCTATCTATCTTCCTATCTACCTATCGATCTATCTATCTATCTATCTGTCTATCTACCTGTCTATCTATCTGTCTATCTACCTGCCTATCTATCTGTCTTTCTATCTATCTCTCTGTCTGTCTTCATTTGCACGAAAGCTACAAGCGCATCTTGGTGGACTTGCAGAGCCAGGCCCCAAAGGCGGATGAAAAGGATGCTGGAATGAATGTTTATCAATGCATACGATGAATAATGATGAATAAGAATGGTATGATGTGATATGACAGGCTGCGACATGATATGATACGGTATGGCATGGTATGGCATGGTATGGTGTGATGCGGTTTGGTAGAGTATGGTATGGTATGGTACCGTAAGATAATGATGCAGGATGATATGGTATGCTATGCTATGACATGGCTCTGATATGGTATGTTCGAGATGATATGATGTGATATGGTATGGTATGGTATGGTATGGTATGGTTTGATGAATGTATGAATGAAAGAAAGACAGAAATGAGTGAAATGAATGGAATGAATGGAATGAATGGAATGAATGAATGAATGAATGAATGAATGAATGAATGAATGAATGAACAAATGAATGTTTGTTTGATTGATTGATCGATTGGTTGCATGAATGAATGATTGGTTGATGCTTTGATTGATTGTAAGTGGCATGAATGGAAAGAGTTGCGAGAATGGAATGAACATGAAATAACTGGAAAAGAAAAGAATGAATTGGATCGAATTGGTTTGAGTGGATTGAATGAATGCATTGAATGAATGCATGCATGCATGCATGCATGCATGCATGAATGAATGAATGAATGAATGAATGAATGAATGAATGGATGGATGTATGGGTGTTTGATTGACTGATTGATTGATTCATTGATTGATTGATTCCTTGATTGATTGGTTGATTGCTTGATTGGTTGATTGATTGATTGGTTGATTGATATATTGAATGAATGAATGAAATGAATGAATGAATGAATCATTGACTAGTATATTGCTTTGTTGATTGTTTGTTGGTTTGTTTGATTGATTGCTTGCTTGATTTATTGATTGATTGATGGATTAACTAACTGAATGAATGAATGAATGATTGGTTGGTTGATTGACGGATTGATATATTGATTGATTGGTTATTGATTGAATGAATGAATGATTAATTGGCTGACTGAATGACTGCGTGACTGAAATGAACTGAAATGAAATGCATTGAAATGAAATGAATTGCAGTGAAACGAACTGACATGAAACAAACTGAAATGAAATGAAATGAAATGAAATGAAATGGAATGAAATGAAATGAAATGAA